TTGCTCTGATAGTGTAACATCGAGTTGGGGTCTTTGAGTTAAACTATGTTTTATTTGATTTTTGTTATTTTGATTATGTTTCTGTACAAGGAAAACTTTGGATTATTCCTTTTTGAGTTCCGCTTCCTTTTGAGCAATTTTTTATATCTTTTGGGAAAACCCTTTGTTTACGGAGCCTTAACCTATATTTGATTTATTGGAAAATGTACGCCCTTTGAGGTGATTTTTATTGAGTTTAACATTTTACTCTAATAAATGTGAATATTTTGCCTTTAAACTGTGGGGTAGAAAAGAGTGTTACACACCAAATGTTGGGGTATAGCTTATTTCTATCATTCATAGGAAGAGCTTGAGATTAAGCCTATCCCAAAAGGCAATAGCAAGATTATGGTGATTCATCCATGATTCCGCAATCAGCCAGAGATTGGGTTTGTGAGCATTTATGTTATTCTTTAGAGCTAATTTTTAAGGGGGGTTGGCAAGCCCCCTTTTGTTCCAAAAAAGGCACTTTATTAGGAAGTTTGAGTATTACCAGCCAAAGATCTGGTAGCAGAAACAACCTTGGACTTTGCATTTTCTTTTCTTTTCTTTTTCTGTGACTTAGAAACTACCAATTGGTAGTTATTTCCACTTCTAATTCTTCATCCATCTTTTGGTAATCAATAGCATCTGCCATGTTAGCCCACGAATTTTTCAGAAATTCAGCATTGGACTGTTAGATAGCCACAGCGGGATCATTGAAATACGTACCTTGTGTCGCATCAACAAACTCATAAGCCTCTAAGCTAGAAGAACTAAAGTTGTCAATAGGATTATCATTGTTACAACCAACAATTGGATGAATCACAGTCTTGAGCAGAGGATTGATGGCAGTAGCTGCAACTTCAACAATGGAGTCCAAGTTATCCTCAAGTATTCACATCCTTACAAACACAACTTGTTTACCCCAAGTGTAAATGTTGAGTTCTCTCTGACTCAGTTTCCACATTCTCATTAACATGTGTTTTTTCAATGAAAGTAGAAACAGATGGTTTTTTCGACTTATCCTCATTATCAGATTTATATTTTCCTTCTTTGCATTTCTTCCTTCTGCAGTTGTTTTCAATGTGACCAAAAGCCTTACAGAATTGATAAAAGTCTGGCAGCTTCTCGTACTCAATACCTATAAAAAAAACACAAAGTCGGTGCGTTCTACCAGTATACTATCTCTAAGTTCAGAGAGCAAATCAACATCCACCAAAGCACGAACAAAATGACCAAAGTTCCTTTCAAACGGAGAACTATTGGAAATGGAATTAATACATATAGGAGTACCAAGGCTGCTAGCTATAGCAAATATGATTTTAGGTATCCAATATTCTTGAGGAAGTCCAAGAATTTCGACCCAAACTTGAGCAGAAGAATGATTGACATTATTCGGGATGAAATCTTTCGACCAAGGGAAAAGCTTCAGTGATCTAGGGTGTAGGTTCCAAGAATAATTTGATTGAACTCTTCTAACATCTTCCAATTTGGAGAAACATAATTCAAAGAATCCTTTTCCAAGGGAGGTAACACACCATTTGCTTATACCAATCCACAATGTGTTTAGTTTGGCTTTGAACTACAATACTATAAGAGGGAAGAACCCTTAGGCCATAAAATTTGGTCGTGCAAATTGGGTTTACAAGCCTCCACTCCGAGGAGGTACTCATCTTCTGGAATTACGGTGGATATACGGTCTCCTTTAACAGATGGAACCGATAATTGACTCGTTGGAATATCACAAACATTACCAAGAGCCTCAACAAAGGATTTTATAGGTTTTTCAGTGGATATATTTATACCTTTATTAGGTGCATCAGCTATGACTGTTTCAGGAAATAGAGTTAAATCCATCATAAACTCAATAAAAAGGAAAGACGCAGAAGAAGAAAATCTCAGATTTAGGTAAGGGTGACTTTTCGAAAGGTCCCTAATCAAATTTAAACCAAATCCAAAAGTAAACCACACCTAAAACTGGGAATAGAACAAGGAATAGGGGAGAAGAGCAAGAGAAGGAGATGCATCGTCGTAGGGGCGCCGCACACCTCTGCAACTGGCTTCACGCCAAGAACCAGTCTGCAACGGTTATATTTCCATTTTCCTCTAAACAACCATGTCAACGCGATGCTCTCTCTCCACAATCACGAGTATTCCATAATTCCCTTTATATCATTATTTAAGTTTACCTTTATATAGTTTTTTCTTTTCTCTTGTGATTGTGCTAGAAAAATGTGGAAAAATTAAATATATGAATCAAATTCAAGTTTTTCTATAATTATAAGAAGCTCAAAAGAAAACCAATTGATCTCTGATACTTCAATGATTCACACTAAATTGTATCTGTCTATTTAAGCTCAAGAATAAAGTTTACAACTGACTCAATGACTCAAATTTATTTGATATGTATTTATTATTTTTTCAATGTGTTTATGTGAGGAATTGTCTCAAAATTTTGAAGAATCTTATGTAAATATATGAAGTTAGTTTCAATTGAGTTATAAAATTTTTTAAGGGGTTTTATTTATTGTAAATTAATTGTGGAATAGGTTTATGGAGACTCATTTTGTCATATTTTAATCATGAAAAATATGAATCAATATGCAGTAGATCGTCTTGCACACCATCAAAACCTCCCAGTTTATGTATTAATGAAATGTAACTAAGGATTTGTTATTTAGATGTACAATAAAAGTTCTAAGAAAATGTAAGTATATGTCACACATAATTAGTCACCAATTTTCTTATATATTTTGGAAAGGAAACATTAAGTTCTAGTAAGGTGGCGTGACAGCAAAGTTATTGGTACAAATTTAAGTTAGTATATGTAGTTAAATATTAATACATTATTTAAACTCTTAGGATTTTGTTTTCGAGAAACCACTATATTTAAATAATATATCAGTTTTTAACAATATATTCTAACTCAGATTTATATCAATGGTCTTTCTGTCACACAACATCACCAGAACTTAACTTTTTTTTTTTTGCCCCAAATTGACAGAATTGATCAAATAGGATAACATAAATAAAATTAAAATACTAACTTGTAACGTTTTTTTATTAAGAGACTAAAACAGAATATTAAATTAACTCAAGGAATTGAATATGAATTAAACCAAAAAGATTATAACCTATTTCATTGATAATTATTAATAATTATAGCTAACAATTATAGCTATTAATAATTAACAATTATATATTAAGATTGATAAATTATTTATTTATCAACAATTATTAATGTATCAAAATCATATATTCAGCTTAAGCTTAATGACAACTTGAATGTAAATTGTTTTCTTTGACTTGGTTCATAACTTTAACTTTTCTCTACCATTTTTAAATTGTTATTATTCAAGAAATTTGATTTCAACTTCGATAAAATTTTAAAAATGAGACTTCACTTGAATATGTTGCGATATTTTTTAAAAGTGATTTATGACTGATCGGGCAACTAATTATTTTTTAGAATATGAACATCATAATATAGACAATTTTTATAATTTCAGCTTTTATTTCTTATAGTTTACATGTCTCCATAGAGATAACTATTTATTTTTTCATAATATGATTACTGAAATATATTACAATCTTTTACCATCTCTATTTTTATTATCTCTATTTTTATTCTCTATAATTTATATGTGTTCAAACGAATAACTAATTATCTTTTAATGGATTGAGTATGTTAACTATAATAATTTATTTTTGTCAGCACAGATAACTAATTATTTATAAGGAGTGGCAATGCATGACTCCCGTGTACGATTATGTTTATATGATTATATTAAATTATTCAAAAAAAACTCTTTTTAAATAAAAATTTATTTCATCTTATATGTAATAGAGAAAAAAAATGACGTACTACACGTATAAATTTTTATATTATAAACCAATGACGATCATGTATCGTCGTATTAAAAGTTTTAAACTTATTATGTAACATGACAGAATAAAATATTTTTATTAAATGGCAGTATTAAATAATTTTAAATATAACAATTAATAAACTATATGTATTTCTTAGATGAATTATCTCACACAAGAATCTCATATAAAAACATCAAAACTTGCATAAAGAAACAACTCATTAATCACAATACATGACTCTTACTTTTTACATTATTAACTAAATATTTATGTTGCATATTATTGAACTTGCTAAAAAAAAGGACCTTTTGATATGATAGTTATGATATATCACCTAAAAGACGAGCGACTTTTTACACCATTAACTAAAAAATTGATGTTACATATAATTGTACTTGCTATATAAAAATTTAAATAAAAAAATTAAAAATAAATAAATAAATAAATAAACCTTTTGCTCTGATAGTTATGATGTTATCACCTTAACAAAAAAAGAATTAAAAAAATAAATTAAAAAAAAAACTTTTGTTATGATAGATATGATGTAGCACCTAAAAAACGAGCGGCAGCGGACGAGTATGTGCGGATGTACAGGTACATTACTAACTTATATAGTAAAAAAATAGATCAAATGAAAAGCCTTCAAACAACTTGATGACGCAGAGAAAAACCTTATTATAAGAAAAACTACTAAAACAAACTTCGAGAATATTGATTAATTGAATAGAAATATAGTCTTTGATAGAATAATATGACAGTCATAACCGACTCTATTTAACAGAATAAAATTTAAAGTTTGACTATTGTTGTTATAAGTGTATTCAAGTGTAATAACCTATAGATATAACAAATGAATACTATCAACAACAGAGTCGTGGTTAACATAATATGTCTACAACTGTGAAAAAGATTGTTCCCAATTTAAATTCACAAAATATGACAATTCTCACTTACAGGCAAAGAATATTGGATGATTTGTTAGATGAGAATCTGAACATTAACAAATTTACACACGACCAACCTATTTCTTTCATACAAACTATGATTTTTTTTCTTTAGTTACAAAAACAAGACTAACCAAACCATGTATAAAAGAGAATCTTCCGGTCTCACCGATTATTACTATTTTTGAAAAAATTGAAATCCCATCGTCGCATTAAGCCATCCATGACATGGCCAGCAGGATTTCTAACAACGGTTACCGTGGCTGTTGTATTATGTGATATGTCAGTGTCTGATGAACTTTGTATACTAACAGAGCTATCACTGCGAGCAGAACCACTTGTATTGCTAGACTCTGTAATGGATAATGTGTTGTCCTGTGGTAGTGGCAGCTGCACTCCCCCAATTAGACTTGGCTCGGACTTCAAACTTAGGGAATGTTTCACTGCGACGGTATTTGGCTCAGCATTCAACGGTGCAGATTCTTCTAATGCACTGGAAATGTCTTTAGGTTTTGAATCTGTTTTGTGTTCGACTAGAGAAGATTCTTTCTCCATCGGTCTAGAAATCTCCTGTGAAGAATCGTGTGAGTTGTCTTTATCAGATAGCTCTACAGATACATAAGGAACACTACTACTGGCTGGTGGCATTTCTGCCTTTGGATTTTGTACTTCCAGGTCCTTCAGTGACTCCATTACTGCTTCCATTAACATCTGAAATATCATAAAGAGCATCTAGATCATCAAGTATTTTTTATCAGGTAATAATTAGATCGTGTAAAGTCATCAAGTTGACTCACTCTTTCCTCCTCCTCTGCACTAGATGGAAAACCTGCAAGGTCTTCAAGTTGATATTCCACATACTGATCGTCATCCAATGCTGCGAGAACATGGGGGGCATAGGGATGACCATCGGACAACTCAAAGCTTATCATGGATGAAGCCGGCGGGGATGTATCACTGCACTTCTCTTCCTGCTTGCAAAAAAATCATGCAAACGGTGAGAATCTAGTTTATTTCTGCAGTTAAAGTACTCTTCCCTAACTCCTTTGACTACATATATTTCTCTATTTCATCCTGATGTTAGATATTTGAATGACATTCTTGAAGCCCAGGTACTGGGCCCTCATGGGTAGTAGTAGGTTAAACTAGAAGTGGCCATCCACCGCAGGCAAAAAAGAATGCAGTGATTCGGATATAGAAAAGGAATACCTCATTTCCGCATTGTTCATCTTTTGAAGAAATATCAGATGGAACCTGAGAAAAATCATGCAATATAAATTCATAAAAACCTAAAAACAATTCCACAAATAATTCAAATACAATTGAAATCATCGAATCAAGCAGCCACATCTTCACTGGCCCGTGGCCATACAATTCAAAACAATGTGTAACAAAAAGAGTTTAATTTTTTCTCCGTTACTTTAACTTGCAAAAATTGGACGATTTCTTGAATTGTGCGTGTCATGCTAATCTTCTCAGTATCCTTCCAATATTATCGGATATCCCTGAAGATAGTTCAATCTTTTTTAAACATATCTAAGAGCTAATAAATACAAACCTCCATCCTACTCATTGGTCGTCTTGAACGGACTTCCTTAATAGCATCTATAGTACTGCTAGTTGATGGTTCTGCATCAAACAAATGAACAAAGTAAGAGATTTATAAACACAAATCCTAATAGAAACCATGCAGAAGAAATAGTTAAGAAATTAGGTGACTTGAATCATGCCTTTGTTTTTAGATGATGATTCATTGTTGTTGCCTAATTCATGCACAGATCTCCATGCATCCTGAGTAAAGAGTCAAGTTTTAAAAATGCTCACTATTTAACAGTGAAATTTTATCAAAATGGAATCTATGATATGCATTGCTGATTTTACCTTACCAAAGTAATCATTCACAGGGTCAAAAAATGATTCCCCAGCCTCATCCTCGGGAGGTTGCAGAACATTGTGAAAAAAGATGTTTATCGAATCAAAGTAAAACTGAGGACGTGGAGAATTGTGATCTCCCTCAAATTTAATTATGTTTTTGTCTCCCTGCAAAGCACAGACACCCATATTGAAGATCCATATTACAGGGCATAAAACATCTTTTAATATAAAACAAAGAGCAAATGAAAGCAACTTTAAACATCTGGAGGGCATATTTTATAATTTCAAAAGCATTAGCCATGCTCTAAAGTCCCTACAAAATGTCACAAGGACTTAGGCTAGATCAACAGAACAAGAAGTTCACAATTATAAATAAGACAGTAATTGTTTTTTATGGAAAAAGGAACTTCCGTTAAAACACTTACCATGTAAGCCTCAAATATACGATCAGAGTGATGAGGTTGTATAAAATCATCGTCAATGGCATGCCCTAATAGAGCTGGAACAAAACAAGATTTTGCTACCTGCAAGCAAACAAATAATGAGTGAATATGATGCATAGTACAAAAAATTGAAAAACCAAAAGCAACACATGATCAAGAGGAAAATAAAACAGTTATACACATTATTTCGTTTCTTCTGATTTTCTGCTTTGCATCATCTGGACAAAATCAGATTAGAACCAAAAAAAAAAAGCTTGACAGAATCAGATCTTTCGAAAAAATAATGTAGCATGGGACTCATATTGTAAGGAACACAAATCATTAGTCTTTAGCATGTATTTTTACAGTTTTCCACAGGTTTTTATCAATTAGCATCCAAAATTTTGAAAATGACAGTAAAGCTGATTCTGGTTAAAATTTAAAAATTTCCGGTTTAGCAATTAGGAAGCAACAAGCACAAGCAGAAGATGCAAGCCCCCACCCCAGTACCACCAAAAGTATACTTTTAATTGCACATTTTCTTCTATACGCTAGTTGAAATTATGAACTACTTGAATCAAAGTAGCATACCTCATTTATTGACTAGCAAAGGTTTCATTGCCAATGATATTTGCAACTAATCAAGTAAACATACAAGAAATTCAAGCAATCAACACAATTTGTGAGAAATATATAATGAATAAATTATATATGAACTTGGAGACTCATTTGAGTGAATAACTAACAAGTCTATTACTTTCTTCAAGTTCAAGCTAAAATCTATATTTGTTTAACTAAGCTTGGGCATGGAAGGAAACTTTGACATTTATGTTGAAAAGTAATGAGGATAAACAAAGGTTACTAGCTTATCACTTTTATGTTGGACCAATTGATCAATTCATAAAAACAGGCAAGTAATAGGAACCTATTCAATTAAATAACTTTCTATCAAAAAAAATGAAAAACCAAATAATAACAATAAAACTAAAGGAAAAACAACCTTGATGGTATTGAGGTCTGTTATGTCAAATTTTGCCTTCTTTTGGATTGCTCTTCGCATGTACTGGATTGCAAACTTCACCTGTTACAAGAAAAATGAAACAGAGTCAACATAACAAAAAGTATTAGCACCGACAAAAATATTCACTATGAAGTATGTTAATTAGCGAGATCATATGATACATTAATTATTCACTATAAGATCTATACGCCGCATAATTAAGATATTTGCTACAGCAGCAGCGACCATAGCAATTGAAGAAGGTTTGTATGAATGATTGTAGGCAATGCAACCTCCTCAAGAAACTTAAGGGAACAGTGGATGTGACGAGGTTTCTTGCAAGTTATCAAAAGTCCCAACATTCCAAATGACAAATTAATAGCTTGCTTGACAAACTTATGCAAGGCACGGCAATAACAGCTTTCTGGTTTAATGTTGCATGTCTCTTGGCAAGAGGTTTCATGTGGTAGAATAATCTTTGTTTTTTTCTTTCAGAATGTGGTACACAGGAGCACCAATCCACTGCTTAAAAAAGCTTTCTGAATCTATATGGTGTTTATACAGAAACAATAAATGGTTTTGAGGGCAGAGAAACCACATACACACACTATGAATAGAGAATTAGCACATAATATTGTGCGCATGGAATACATAATGGAGAATATTCCACTACAGCATAACAGAATGCCTGTGTTTGAAGGTTTTAGGACCCTTTGGGCAGGGAGGTTGGCAGACCCTTAAATACTTGTTTCAAGAGACATGCAATTTCTCTGTTCTTCTAGGTTTACAAGAGATCCGGGGGCCTTTAACCTTAATGTTCCTTACAATACACTATAATGTCTCTACTCCCTCCAATCCTCGTTTTACAATCTACCATATTTCTATTGGCCTAACCACCGAAGAAAGTCTTATAGTAATTGCTCCTGACCAATATGACAAATTTGGCTTTTATATCTTCTAATGCAGGCCTCAGTAACTGCAGGTATTTCCATCTTTAGTTGGTAACGAGTTTTAGAATGGACAGAAGGGAGTTTCATTAGTATTGATATTCGTTAAAACATCTCCAGTCAAATATTTTGGTATCAGGCACATACCAGACTACATAGTTCTTACGACCAGACTGTAGAAGGATATAAAGTATTAAATGAGACTATAAATTCAGCATTTGGAGAGACCATTTCTACTTTTACCCAAAAAAAAGTAATACAAGATACTCACAGTGAACTTGGGCAGACGGACTTTATATGTATCTACAAGTTCCATCATCAAATCAACCAAATCAGAGAAGGGACTATCTAAAACCATCCCTGCAATTGAAGGATCCTCAGCTCCATACATAAGGCTGAAAGGAGTAACATCATTGATGCATGAGGAAAAGCCATTTTATTTAAGCTAAAATGTAGGTCTGAATGGCTACATAACCAAGGAGTTCATAAATTGAGAGCACTAAATATGGAGAAAGATTTGAATCAGAAAGGATTTAAGATATAGGAGTTTTTATACCAAAAATACATTGCCACAAATCTAGACGAATGCAGAACACTAAATTTCGTAGTTCAGAAATGCATACATGAATATATGATCAGATTCATCATTCTCAAGTTTAAGAACTAGTGATATAAACAATCTAATTTCAGAACGAAACTGGAAGATAACTTTCTTTTACAAGTCATTTCATCCACCACCTAACAGACTGCAACCTATGCCCTACAGTTTCCTATTATAAATAATAATGAAGACTCAACGGATTAGGGAATAGTTCTTAGTTCTTAATCATAATATTGCAAAAATTGATAATTTATGAAACAAATTACACTTCATTGCTACAGTGCTATACAGCCCATGTTTAGGAGCAAACTTTTCCTAAACATCATTCAAAAGTAAAGTTCAAAGGAATAAGAAAATGATGAAAACCTACCATGTTACAGCTCCCATTGAGCGGCCCCACAAACCAATCAAAGATACATTTCCATCATTCCTCAGATAGTTGACCACAGCCGTTAGATCATCCTTCTGATAAAAGTCAAGAATGTCAAACAACAATCATTTCACAATAAAATAATGACAACAAAGCAAAATGGTAGTAATGATGTGTATGCAAAATCCCAGTACAGAATGAGTCTAAATGTTCTAACATAATAATAAAGATACGTAAAACAAATCAAGCATAAGTGTCCTCCACAATCATATAGCAAGTTTTATAATTTCCACTGATGATATAGATATGGAATTCAAATAAAGCTTTTATTAAATTTAACTTGGACTAATTTCGAAATGAACTCGCAAAAACATCAATGTGCAAGTTCTTGAACTTGAAGATATCTTTACACAAAGTTTAGTGATGTGTGTTATTGCCCATATGTGTGAAAGATTGCAGTAGGAGGGGAGATTTTTGGTCATTCAACCCTTCATTTCATGAGTTTCTCACTCATAATAATAATAATGGACAAAAACGAAGAAATTACTCCTTACCCATAGTGGATAACTGACATAGGAATAAGACTAAGCAATATCGATGATAAAACAGTCAGATCTGAACATTTTTAAAAGATTACTGAGATAGTATTTACTTCATTCCATCCGAGAGTGACATGCTCCCCTCCAGAAATCCCAGATCCCGAGAAATCCAGAGTGAAAACCGTAATATTTGAAGGAAGTAAAATTATAGCAGCTTCACTGGCATCAGCCCTACATCCACTGTTAAAAAACATTGCAACCAATCAGCACAAGCCTATAAAATTGAAATCAATAAACTATACTACACCAAATGAAAGTCATAGACAAGAAAAAAAACCAAATAGAACGTGGTGAAAATAAGATTAGGATGCACGTATTTATCGTACAAGATAGGTATATCCTATCGTGTAAATAAAGATAAAATATAGAGACTTTGTTGTGTAGTTGGGACACAGGATTGCAAAATCGTGTCTTTCCCTTTCTCTCTAATTTGAAGACATGAAAATAAACTTACAAGCATCTACATTTCATAATTGAAGATGAAAGAGTACATTTTTTTGTTCAAGATTGTTTAAAGCTTAGAAGGAAAAAAAGGAGCTATTAGGTCTTCGGTCTTCCATATAACATCACTACAACTAACAATATTCTTCCATCTCTACTATATCAGAACCTAGCTAACTATATGACTAATACTTAAATGTAGTTGAGTCTCACATTGGATGATAGTGTTGCCTAAATAGTGGTTATAAGTGGTGACCTTACAAGAGGTTTTGTAGGAAAAATTAAGTCATAAACCCAAATTTAAAATGGTATCAAAATCTGTTCTATATCAGTTGAGTCTTCTTTTATTGGGCCATATCGATCACGCTTCAGATGTCCAATCAAGGGCATGAGGGAGTATGTTGAAAGTTTCACAATGGATGGTGATATAGTCTAAATAGTGATTATAACTTATAAATGATGGACATCTCTCACCAAACAAGTCAATTTTGTAGAATGAGTTAGACCCTTAGCCTGATTTTAAGAAACGCCGCAGTTATCACTTTTTCTTTTAATTTTATGCTGGATCATCTATAATGTTCATTCTTATACACAAAGCAATGTGAAAGAATGTCCATTTTGTCATACAAAAGAAATTATGATCAAAAGTATCATTATAATGTGTAAATACAGCGATTTTCATCATTGTGGTAAACCTATAAAATGTATAAATCTATACAGCTTAAGAAGGGATAATGGCAGGTCATAAGTATATCATGAAGGCAAGTTAATTTTTAGTTATAGGTTGAATAGTACCCTAGTAGAAAATGCGCATAGAAATTAACTATTTAAATTTATCATAGAGCAATTATTAGTAAAACAAAACCCTTTCCTCAAAATGAATCAAACTAAATGCACGTATATCTATGTTTAGCCATCTGTAAAATAAAATTAACAGTCAAAGTCATAACCTAATTTTTAAAATGTAAAAAAAAAAAAGGAAAAGAAAGGTAAACACACACAAACTTCAAAGGAGAATCTAAAATGCCCAGAAAAAATTTTGCAGTTCAATCAAACAAAAAAAAACATATTATCCTACAGTCACCTGTTGCCATGACAATATATTACACAAGGAAGAGGCTTTCCTTCAGCACTGACAATAGGAATGTAATGGCTGCATTGAAGAACATCACCCCGGCTATTTTTTAACTGCAAAATATCAATATACATTAGATTAGAGGCTAACCAAATAGGTTTGGAAAAAAAATAGATTGAGTATGACTTGATTCAAAGCATGGGGGGAGACAAAAAAGTCAACAATGAAGGATGTTGTAGAAGTTAGAACATCACATACACACTCTTTTATGTATGGAAATTGTAAAAGAAGTATTCTACACGAAAGTAATCACCACAGTATTTAAAGATACAACTAAAAATAATTCTTCCAGAATAGAATTTTTCTTAACTTACTACATTTCAGTATTTTATGCAAGTAAATAAATTATCCTTTCATGCTGAGATTCTAGGTAAAGAAACACTTCTTGATGAAGTTTCAACAAGAGCAATAAAATAACTAAAGGATGAAACACTTTTTGAAGCCTACCTCTACATCCTTCCGATGATACCATTTCCCTTTCAGCAAGAACTCTTGATCTAACAAATCACTTTTGGGGTCATATTCAGCTCTGCAAAGAGTTATCAAAACAGAATAAACTATTGTGACAGATCTCACTTTAATAACGCATATCAGCACGATGCAAAGTAGGAGTTACATTCAATGATGAAACTCTCAAGATCAAGTGAAAATAAAATCAATAACAAAAACAATCTACAAGTGTTATTGAAATTAAGACTTTACTTTTGCATCATGCATGAGTAAAAACCTATTTGGAAAATTAGGGAAATTAAAAAAGGGAAAAAGTCTTGATTCGAAAAGGAATCGGAAAAATCGGATACCTTGGTGGACGAATGATGAAGTTGACAAGCTGTTCCATGGATTTGAATGATGAAGACGATTTGAAAACTTGAAGCAATTATGCTTTCAAGTTTGAAGAAGAAGTATGAATGAATCAATTATTCGTGTATATATCCGTAGGAGAAAATTGGAAGAGAGAGAGAGAGAGAGAGAGAGAGAGAGAGAGAGAGAGAGAGAGAGAGAGAGAGAGAGAGAGAGGGTTGATGACGGTTATGAGACAAAAAGAAGAAGAAGTAAAGAGATTGTTATTGGGGATCGGTGGGTGGGTCTCTGTGTTTCCAACTTGTTCTTCTTTCTTTCTCCTATTGAAAAAAAACAAATATCACTCACTATCCCGCACGTCACCGTTTTTTTTTTTTACATTTTTTTTTCTTTTCAGGTTTACCAAGAATTATTCAAGTTATAAATTAAAATTATTATTATAAAGGTGGTACAGCGTGGCGGGGTAGTGATAATAATAATGATAAAGTTCCTTTCGAAAATAATGACAATTATTAATTTACATGAATCGGGTCTCATCATCTATATGAATCGAACGGACCAGTTTTTACAGGTTTAATCAATTGGTTTGACAAGATAAGATATCCAATAGGTTGACCGAACCAGCTCACGCCTCACAGTACCATTTCCAATTTGACCTGTCAGTGAATTTTTAAGTTTTCGTTTTTTTAATAAAAAAAATCGGTATCTTGAAGTTCTAAGAATTAAACTACTCTTTTCTTCTGCGTTTTATTAAAACATTCCTACAAATTTTGTAGTCTTAACAAAAATGGTTTCCAATAATAAATTTATAAAAATTTGAAATGATACTATGAAATTTTTCGCAAAACTTATAGAAATTTTTGCAAAAGTTCTAAGAATGGAAAGGTTGTTTATTGTTATTTTTCAATCACATTTTTCAGTGATATATAAAATAGGTTAATAATTCATTATTATTTTATCTACATTTAAATGTGAAATTAAAAATTGATACATATATTAAGAAACAATTAAAAATATTATTTTGATTTTTTCATGTGGTTTGTGTGACCATTCATACAAAATAATATTAAAAGAAGAATAGAATAACATATTTTTATAAAAATAAAATGAATAATTAGTCACGAGATTCTTTAATTTATATTAAAATTTTGGTTTAATCTCTTAACTAATAAATGTTTATATTTGACCCTTCAAAAATTATATGTTAGTCAAATTAATTTTTCTCTTAAACTTTTTAAAAAAACATTTATCAATTAAGGGACGAAAATAAAACTTAAAAAACTATAATATTGCTTAGATTGTTGTGCGTATTATGTTTGAATTGATAATATAGAATAAAATTGAGTGAAATAATATAAAACTTATTGGTTGGATTAATTAAAAAGGATTCAACGGTTGTATAAGAAAATGGGTGTCTAATGAAAATGGATTGAATGTATCAAAAACTTATTTAAAAAAGAATTTAATGGTTGTGTAAAAAAATGGAATAAAGCAGAATTTGATTAAATGTGTTTCATTTCAGTATAATTCTTCATTTTTTATAAGTTTAATTAATCTCCGGATCTTTTGATTTAATTTTGATATTTTATTTTACTCATTTATTTAATAAATATTATATTTTAGTCCCTCAAAAATTATTTTATTACTTAACTTGATCAATTTTTGTTAAATTTTGAAAAAAAATTACATTAAATTATGATAATGAGACAAATCAATTGGCGAAATTCAAAATAGTGTGTTAACAATTCATTAAAAAAAAGTTGTCTTGTGTTTCCTAGGATTCAAACCTCATCTTCAAATATAACAATAATTGTTGAAATCGATGGAACAATTAAGGTGTCAACAAGAAGAAGAAGAGAGAAAAAAGATAATATTATTGAGTAAAAACTAAAGTGATTGCAATGAAGTTGTTTTTGGAAACTACAAAGACATGGAAAAATTTATCTCATACCCCTACTATTATCCCTCTACCCCTGTATTTTTTAAAATATTTCAATTCTACCATTTTCACTTATCAAATAATTTTTTTTATTTAATATTTATTTTTTTTTGTATGTATTTTTTCTTCACCAAATAACTTGCAATCAAGTTTTCCGATATATATTTTTTCTTCACAAATAACTTGCAATCAAGTTTTCTGGTATGTATTTTTTTTTTTACCAAATAACTTGCAATCAAGTTTTCTGGTATGTATTTTTTCTTCACCAAATAACTTGTAATTAAGTTTTCCGGTATGTATTTTTTTCACCAAATAACTTGCAATCAAGTTTTCCGGTATGCAATTTAACCAGTGAAGAAAAATTACATACCGAAAAACTTGATTGCAAGTTATTTGGTGAAGAAAAAATAAATACCGAAAAACTTAATTGCAAGTTATTTGGTGAAGAAAAATACATACCGGAAAACTTAATTGCAAGTTATTTGGTGAAGAAAAAATACATAACTGAAAACTTGATTGCAAGTTATTTGGTGAAGAAAACATACATATCGAAAAATAATAAATATTAAATAATAAAATTATTTGATAAGTGAAAAGGGTAGAATTAGAATATTTTAAAAAATATATGGGTAGAGGGATAATGGTAGGGGTATGATGTAACACCTTTTTCTACCCCACGATTATTAAGGTAAAATAACACGGATTTCAGAGTAAATAAATAAATCTCAATAAAAATCACCTCAAAGGGGCGTACATTTCTCAATGTCTTAAAATAAGTCAATACTCCGTAACACACGGGTTTTCCCAAAATCCATTCAAATTTCACAAAGCAACGGAACTCAAAACATAACTCAAGGTCTTCCTCATAAGGGAAAGTTAGTAAAATAACCCACTTGTATATAGTTTAACTCAAAAGAACTCAACCTGATGTTACATATCAGAGCAAGACCCTTTAAGTTAACCATAAAGGCTAACGACTCTAAATCTTCAAAAATAACTCATCGGCGGCGTCCATGGCTAAACTTGGTCATCTGCACGTTACCCACGTGGAGGTAACATTCAAACAGGCAGGGTGAGTAAAACAATTCATAATAATCAAAGTAAAACAATTCATAATAATCAATGTATAATAATCAATACATAAACGACATATTACTCATATTCAACACATTCATATTCCTCAAAATGCCTCAAAGGCCACAACGTCATAATTCATACAAAAGACTCATAGATGCAAGATCCAACAAAACTCAATGCATGTGGTACCAATCATCACAGCTCGATGGACACTGGGTCATCAACCTTCCATAGATCTCCATCAATAGGATCGATTCTACTAGAGAACCGGAACACATCAAAATACTTCACATCCGCACAGTGGGATTGAAGCCAAAATAATCGAGGTCCTGAACCGAAGTCCGAATGCATATGAATGCATGATGCACATGTCACAAATCATCCTCATAATAACATCATAGGTGTATCATCATTCATCATATTCATCATCATCAAACGTCATAACTCATCATCATAATCATCATCGTACATCATATCATCACAGCTCATCATAATAATCATCATCATTCATCATGTCATCACAACACATCATAATACTCATCATCACACATCATTTTGTCATATATTCATCATAATAATCATCATCACACATCATGGAAATCGTCATATAATCACGTACAAATCACATATTAGCTCATAGTCACCCTCATATTAGCCCATCATATTATCGCATTTTATCACATATTAATTCATAATACCACCCCATATTATCTCATATTAATTCATAATATTATCACATATTAATTCATCAAATTATACTCACGGCAATCCTCACACTATCGCCTATCAATCACATAATTCCTCATTGTCATACTCATGTTAACTCAACTCAGAAATCTCAGAATCAAACATCAAGGCATCGCTGCACACGATCAACATTCGCGAAACTCTGCTACGTTCGCAAGCATGCTCGCTAGGCGAGTTGGAGAAAGTTTCTTTGCTAGGTGAGTCTGGGAAAACATGGTTCGCTAGGCGAAGTTTTTCTTCGCTAGGCGAACAGCGCGATGACAGCAAAAATCTGCTACGCACCAGAACTGAGTTCTACCCAAAAACTCATACGATTCACACACCCCATGCCCCCAAGACATCTCTAAATCATCCCTAAGGTCATACGGCGATAACAGCACAAAACCTACGGTTTATTAGGCCAATCCCGTAACATATTCATGTCCTAAGTCACAATTTTTACATCAATTACACCCTAAGGTATTATAGTTACTCACTATTCAATATTCAATCCCTTCAGGGTCAGACATATAACAATCTAAGGTTTTGGCCACAAGGACTAAGATTTCTAAATTCTCCTATCAAATATTCAGCGATATATACCATTAGCCATAATCTCAGAGTCTTATCATCAATTTCCCTAATTTCCCACAATCAACCCAAAGTACCTTAAATCTTAAATCAATCATAAACACATCGAAAGGCATACATGGAAAATTATGAAAAGCTATACTCCCCATACCTTAGCCGATTCAAAGCTTTCACGATTAACTTCGGGGATCTTCTGCCTCCAACCTTTCCTTCAGAGCTCTAGCCACCAAACTTTCACGGTCAACACAAATGAATTCTAATTTCCCTTCAGAACTTTATTTTGTCAAACCTAGTCTTGGGCCTCACAAATTGGGCTTTTTCCTCATTACCCTTACTAACTCCTCTAAATGCCCAAATTACCCTTATTCTTCTTATATTTATTTTAATTCATAATAATATTAATAAATCCATATTACATACTATTATTTCAAAATAAATACTCCAAAAAGCATAATTCCTCAATAATTCATAAAGCCACCAAAAAACACCAAAATTGAATATTCTCAATTAAATCAATTAATTAAAATATTCCAATTAAAATTTGGGGTGTTACAACTCTCCCCCACTTAAAAGAATTTTCGTCCTCGAAAATTGCCTTTCAGTGAATTTTTAAGTTTTCGTTTTTTTAATTAAAAAAATCGGTATCTTGAAGTTCTAAGAATTAAACTACTCTTTCCTTCTGCGTTTTATTAAAACATTCTTAC